ATTATAAAAAATTAGTTCACAAAATTGTTTTGTTTTGACAATGATCTTTTTTTTTCATCATGTTTTATATATTTAGTTCCTCGATTAGTCCGGTTTAATTTATATTTTTATAAATTTTATATTGTATTTGTAAACAAGATAATTCTAGTTTAATAAACAAAAACATCTTTTCTTAGTTATATAACAATAATGTAATGTAAGTTTATTAGATTTATAATTAAAAACATGTTCACAATAAGTTGTTTAATCTGTTTTGCTGTTTCCATAATTTTTATTCTGACAATTGTTGGACAATAAAAATGTGAATTAATTCATAATTTTAATTATTATATATCAGATTTATAAGTAAAAAAAAATATTATTTTCAAGCTTTTTATCTGCTTATCTTTAGTTCTTCATAGTTATTTAACTTTATTAGATTTATAATTTAAAAAAAAAACATATTCACAATAATCTGTTTACAATTGTTTACTGTTTTCATAATTTTTATTCTAACAATTGTAAGACAATACATATTTGTTTAGTCATATAACATTAACCGACATTAATGTTATATAACTAAAAACATAATGTGAATTAATTGATAATGTTAATTATTATATATTAGATTTATAAGTAAACAATATAATTATTTTCAAGCTTCTATCTTTACAATTTGTAGTCTGCTGTACTAATATAATTTATTGAAAATTGTTTGGATCTTGTATTCACTATTTTTTTCGTTTTTTTTTAAATTTACTTAATATAGAAATATTTTTGGTTTTTTGATTAATTTTTGTTCTTTCTTTCTTTTTTTTACTTTGCGTTATAAAACATACAAATTACTGTAGATTATTTTATTTTGAACACGTTTATATTAAATAATTAAACTTTTACTATTTAAATTAATAAAAAGTAAGGCAGAAATATTTTTAAAAAAGTAGATATTTTATAGCCAACTTTAATTATCTTTGTCACAATTAAATTTATTTATAGAAATAATTTGTCTACCATTAAAATTAATATCTCAATTATTTCTAATAATAGAATATATCAAAACATTTTTTTTGCCTCCACATGAAGTACGTTAACTTTATATAGAAAACAATTGTTAATTAAAAATCTTATCATAATTATTTGCAATACAGGATGCATTGCGTTCATAAAGTCCTAGGTTATTGTATTTATTTTGGAGTTATTCTCCAAAACGATTGATACATTATAAATATGGAATAACAATAAACAATAGATTGTAAGCATGCATTGAATGCATTATATTTACTATATCCGTTATGTCAATTTTTCGTTGTAATAATAAATTGGTTATGTAGGTGACAAGAAAATAGTATTAACAAAATTATAGTTACATTATTTGCATTCTGATCTGTTCATGCTTACAAAAAGCAATGCGAAATTGTTCCACCACTTCCACAAGTTTAATCCTAGCTACTGACCTGGAATGGAGATTTTCAACTGATGGTATCATTGTTCCAGAATTACAGACCATTAAACGATTATACGGATTCCCAAAACAATTATTTTATTAACTAAAGGTATAAGTACATATTACTACACCTATTAGAGCATAATTTATTAACTACTATAAAATTATATAATAAATTACAGATTATGTTCAATTTTTAATATTTAATTAATTTTATAATTATAAAAGATATTTGAACGTAGAAATATTCATTTTAAAATAATTTGTTAAATAATTTTTTTTTTATTTTTTATGCATGAAACAATTATTTTCAATTTTAATTTATACATTATTATTGTTACTAATTTGGACCAAAGGACTATGGACCTTTCTATTAAACAATATTTCTTACGTTCAATAATCATTTTTATATTAATTATTTTTAGCAATCTATTGCATATTTAGCTACAGATAAATATTAAATGAACCCACATGTTCATACATAATATTATATGAAAACTGCTATTTACACATTTGGTTATAATTCTAAATCCAATAAATTAATCCCATTGAATAATTCCTGCTGAGAAATTGAAGGCAAGCAGGCAGAGATTGTACTTTGTGTGCTGAGAACGCCATATAATTTTCTATTAGTACAGTATTTACGTGCATTTACGTTTTCTTTTCTATTCTTGTTTGCTTTTTTTTATTTTCGTCGACAATATATACGACTTTCTTCGGCATCCCTCTAACACTACATCTACTACGATTCGACTACTTACGACTCAAACACTCCCACGTTATTCCAAGCGACAGTTGTCTTCGCCCACTCGGTTTATGTTCAACCATGTCCAATATATTGGCATTTTTCCGAGCGACTCCTTCTATATTGACAATATAATCAATATGTTTTCCTTTAGGTAACATTTTTTTGTTAGAGGTTTGGTAATCCTTTGTGACACGGGATGCTGAAAGAGATTTCATAATTTTGATTTGCTTGTAACCTGTCTTTACATCAGAATTTGATCAAACACATTATAAACATCTACAACAATAATAAATTATTAAATAAAAATTACGTCTTGTATTATGGAATTGAGTACATAAAAACTGAAGATCAAATAACTTAATTTGTAGAACATACAAACTTCATGATTGTATGTTCTACAACTTCATGATGTGTTTATATAATAGACTCGTAAATGTGCAGAGATTATACTCATATAATACTGTTGGATTTATGTAAGTTTGCATTAAGAAGACAAATACTTCATTAAGATGAGAATTTAATAAATAGAAATTACGAAGACTCAATTAAAATATGTTTGTTACTCCATTAGATTATACATCTTTGGTTAATAGAAATAATCTAAGCTTTGTGTATAAATGTGCATGTTTACAATAAATTATGTTATTAAACGAAATAATCATTAAATAATCGTGAAACAGTTACTAATATGAACCTGAGAAATCTATCCTTAGTTGTATTAGTTATAAACTATAAATATAAATTATTGAAAAAGAATTAATCTGTCTTTTAAAATTGATGATTTTCGAAAGGGTTGTTCGTAAGTCAGGAGAATTTTAAAAAATTCAAAATATACTTATCTTACCACACACACTTTATCATGGTTTTACGTTTTCCGTATTAATGACTGCATAATTTGAAAAATATAGATTAAAATAAACAAAATACTTACTTACAAATACTTTTCAATGTAGACATCACAAATATTTAATAAAAAACGACAAAAGAAACAAATGCAACAAAACAGATAGTACGTCTTCCAAAAATATTATATTTTATTAAAGAAAATATCAATTTTTGTTTGGACAGTAAATTTTTTATCACTATATAACTCCTTGTAACGGGTTAGAGCTTTTAGAATTTTATTCGTAAGTCCGGGAATTCGTAACGGGATAACTGTATTTGATAAAAAAATTAAAATTATCGTTATCAAATCATTAATTATTTTCTATGTATTTTTATATATTTTAACTTGTCGTTTCTGTATGTCAACTAATAATACATGATAATTAAATATCTTCATATATTTAATTAAAAAATGAATTAAGTTCTAATATAATTTATAAACTTATTATTATATTATCATATAATAAATATGGAATAGATTTTATTTGTAAACTGTAATTTATATAATAGTAACGTAACTCTTGTTTGTTTTTGTTACATTAATATTAATTAAATAAAAATAATTTCTATACTTATTTATAGTAATGGTTTATATAACATTAATCAGTTAGTTTTTTTGTTTTGTTTCAAAGTGTGAAAATTTACCAAAACTTATATTATTTTGCACTATATAATTTACAAAAGCCCTGTATATGATTAATAATTAATGTTATATCAATAAGAAAGAAAAAAAATCTTAAAATTGAAAAAAAAAACTACTATTGAGAATTAATCCAATAAAATATAATATTACAACTTATTAAGTATTCTATAATATTAATTATATAAAAAGTTTATTCAATTTTATTTCTTCTACAAAATATATACAATTACAAAATAATGTATTGCATTTCAACGAAAATTGTGATGGTAGTGGTTATAATTTTTCGGTCTAGAGTCCAGACGTTATAGTTCGTGTACCACTAAAAACACATGGTATATAATTTTTATTAATATATGTTGATTACTGGTTACTACTCATATTAGAAATAACATAACATTACAGATTATTTCCTAAATATCAATGATATATAATAATACCATTACTATTTTTGTTTCTGTTAAATTTATATTAATTAATTGATAACATTTACTATACTTATATGTCGTTTTATATCGTTATACATTTTTTGACTTAGACATTTTTATTATAGAAGAAAACAATTATTCTACACATATTTGTATTGTTATAATTTTTTTTTGTTTTAACATATTTTTAACTTTATTTTTTATCTATTTATACAAAATGAACCATTATTTGAATAATAGTGAATTGAATATAATTATTGTAATCATCGTTCGACAAGAGAATGATATGTGAATTACTTAAACACGTTCCTAGCAAAAAGAAAATTACTAAATCGAGTTCCTTGTTTAAAGAACCTGCAGGGGTGTTTCTCAAAATAAGTTACTTCTTTCTTATTTCATCTTTTTTTATATCTCGCTGTTTCATGCATGAAGAGATCTTTCCCGGGTTCAAATTAAAATCAGTGTCAAATACTTTTTTTCGTCCTTTCGTCTGCGAGAAACATCTTGGGCGTGAATGATGCGAGAGTAAATGTAAATTTTAATATGCGAATTAATCAGGCTGCGAAAATTACAAACTTATGAATAGGAGGTCTTTGGTGCTCGCTGCACGATGAAGTCCGTCGTCTCACTCCATCATTCTTTACTGTTCTTTATTTTTTCGTACCACTGAGGGTATATGATTAATTATATTTTTTTTAACAATGCATTTGCAAAGTTTTTTGTTGTTGTTACTTTTATTATTATTATTTTTTATGTATAGCATAATATAGTTGCTATATATACATGACACCAAAATTGACTGTATATTAAATATCCATAACCCTTAGTAGTGGGGATTTAGGAGGCGAGGGGAAGTAATATTCGAGCAGGCGCGAACATGCCATCATGGGCGAGCTATGCTTCAGTTGCCATGAGTCCCTGAAAGTGAGCTCATGTCAGAATCCACTCCTGAAACGAAAAAATAAACACGCGCAACATTTCGAATTCCGCGCTCTTTCGTCGGACGAGACAAGACAGCAGTATTCAAAAATACAATTGCGAAATGTGATAGCACCTCTACCATCAAGAAAGTGATATAATCTCCCCCGTTCGACCCGGCGCCTAATTACATTCAAATGCAGGAAAAAATCGCACATTTTGGATTATTCAGTTAGTCCCAGGTAAATGACATTTACTTCTTTCATATTTTATTAGGCACGAGGGGTGCGCAAAATATATTTTTTTTATTCGCTTTCCATCCGAAGGCGAAATTAGGTCAGCGAAGAATAAGGAGAGAATGAGAATTAGAAGAAAAAAAAGCGAAAAGAAAATGAGGAATAATTGTATTTCCGTTTCCTTGAGCCTCATTATTAGCGGAAAAGCAGTATTTGCTTTTGCAGTAAGTCCGAAATAATGAATTGTATTAAGAAAACATATTTAGTATCTTTCATTCGGTTAATAGGTATGAAAAGAAATTGCGTTTAATGAAGATTCAAGAGGGTTAAATATGGGAGCTTAATTAGTCCGAAGAAAGTGCACTTTTTCGCTGATGGAATATTTAAACTGCTAATTACGAATGTAGTGTTTCCTCTTCTCGAGCATTTTACGAGCGACGGATTCGCAAATTAAACAATAATAAACCTAGTCCGAAAGTGCAGAACTACCACCAACCGTCCTCTCGCCCCTCTCCGCTTCGAGCGCTCAGACACAGACGAATAGCACTGAATTTTAAATTGCAATTTTACAAACATGGAATTTTAAATACTAGACGGACGCTCGCTCCGGCTGCACCGTGCATGGCTAAACATTTGTGAAATATGGAATGCTTTGTTTTATACAAAGATTTAATTATGAAAATTCCAGTCGACGTAAATTCACGGGTTTTATGTGTAGTAGCTACTGCCACCAACCTCCTCTTCTCTTCTCCTACCACTCCTGTCTCCGACAATGGCTTGGCCCCAACATACCAAAAAAGGATAGGCGAACAGGAAAAAAATAAAACAAGAGCGTGAGTGAGAAGGATAGAGGAATGAAATTTATGCAGGTGCTCTCTTATGCCCTAAAATATGTGCATAATTTTCATGGGATATCTATAACGAGTGTGGCCCGAAATATTCATCCCTCAAACAGTTTCAAGTGATGGAATTACGGAATTATTCACTAACCGAGAGAAGAATAAGATGAAGCGAGAAGAAATATATATATGGGTAGCGGTGGGCAGGAGAAAGGAAGAAAAAAAAAATGAAAGCACAATGAAAGGGAGGCGAAACACTTTCGGTTTCTTTTTGAATTATTTAACTTGCGTAATCGTTATTTTGAGTGTGGATAGTATTTACATTACAAAGAAGAGCCAATTACACCTTATATTTAAAACATATATCCATGATTAATTTGGACAATCCTTATTAATTGCTATTTTTATTATTGTTTATTTATTTTTAATCATACAAAATGTTAAAATTTCTACACTTTGACATTAAACTATATTTTAATAATAATAATAATGTTTATTGCATCAGTCGTACAAAAAAACATATACAAAAATAAAAACTACAAAATAAATATGTATAATTTCAAAAAAGTCGATTGACATTGGGTCTTCCTGCCCGGCTATATTTTATTTTATACAAAAATAACTAAATAAATATATTATGTACTAATAGCATTAACAAAGCATTTAATGAATTAAATATACCAAAATTGTATTTATATTATTTTGTCTTTAAAATATTTTAATGATTCCAATAATAATTAGTACAAAATACACAATTTACTTATTACAAAAAAGGATGTTGTTAAACTTTGCTCAATGCTTTTTTTCTTAAATTATTATTACAAATAAACATTGTTGTCTGTAAATGTAAAAAATGCTCATTTAATTTAATACATTTATTTAAGTTTAACATATTCCCTGGTTTGTACTCTTGTCACCAATCTACGATTTTTTTGCTAACAAATTAATATACATTTTAATTGTAACAAATCTTTAAACTCGCAAAATTACACAATACAAAACAGATAAAACTTATCTTAAGTTATGAGATAAAAATTCTAATAACAACAACAATACTATTGATGATTTCTGTATTGTTATTAGATGCACAGTTTCTATTAACCAGAACTGCCATAAAAATCTATTTTTATTAAATTGTAAACTAAATATACTTCATATTAATGAATGCGGCTAACTTAAACAAATTTTATGAAAAATAATAATTAGTTAATAATTCAAGACATACCAGTCTTAGCAATATAGTATAAAGAAATACCTAGCACATTACGACTAATCGGTTCTGCCAATATCCAGGACTGTTTGAAACTGGACTAACCGAGAAACTAAATATATAGAAAAATATGTTCCATTTATTACATTTTTATTTTGCTCGATTCAAATTTTATAACAGGGTTGATTGAAACTTCACATAACCATTACTTTGGTGAAAAAAAATATCATTCACAAAAATTTGAATTAAAATTTGAAACATCATTTTTTTTTACTTAATACCTTGCATAGTGCGATATATGCTATATATTTTCAATTATATATTATTCTAAAGATGCAAAAAAAGACGAAATACTAAAAAATAAAAAAGGTATTTTCTGTCTTGGAAAGTTTTTAGTTCATGAAGCGTGCATCTACAATGAGAGTTTTCGCACAATATTTACAGAGCTGTAATGATGGTAAAAAATCCCTACTATGCATCTTTATTGTCATTTTGAAAACATGCCCTCCGTGCACAAAGCACCCATTGTTGCTGGTGATTTCTTAAAATGTGCATTATACGGGAGCGCTTTAATATACACTCGGGCTGTTGTTCCACTCAACTATCGTCCCATAAATATTTCACAATATTGGGTGAACGGGTACTCTAAATTATTTGAATCAGCACAAGTGGACTTGACGTGTGTTAACGTGGAAACACATATTTTATGGTCATACATTATGATCAAACGCAGGAACTGCATCGAACGTGGATGTTCCAGATTCTAGAATGTATTAGCTTTGTAAGCGGAAATGCTAAGAAACGGATGTTTGCTTTTTAAAAACTTAAAAGAAACTGTAACACATTTCTTCTAACAAAAATAATATTATAAATAATATTTATTATTATACCAATAATTCAATTATTTTAATATATTTTTTTTTTCATTAGAAAAATATATATCAACAAGAATATTCAGAAATAATGTTAAATCTTTATGTGATATATTTAGTTTCAATTAGAAAATGAGTTTCAAAATAGAAGGCAGAAAATAAGAAAAATTTAGTAATCATTTTAATCTTTAGAACTGTGTCAACAGTGTGTGTTTTTACTGCAACCTTATATTGAAAACTTCATAGATTGACAAACATTTCGCGATATTTGAAAAGTAGCTTGACAATTTTACAAGTGAATAAAGTTATTTATATATATATTTCATTTTACTCTACACTTGCCACTTTTCTTGGCAAGTAATGCATATAGTATATAAACATATAGATACTAGAAGTTATATTGATTTTCTTCACTTAAAGCTACTTCAACACTGTGCGTGACATGAGACATAAATATTTGTCAGGAATACCAACTGCTATGTACACAGTTTACTGTTATTAGACTCTGAGATAATCAATAGTAGTTGGTATGCCTGACGAACATAAAACTCTCATATCACGCAAAGTGTGGAAAAAATCACTATATTAAGTATAAAATTTCCTATATAAACTTGCCAGACTATAGAAAATATACGGAGGTCATCACATCATATCTTCTTCATACGTACAGTATTTTTTTTTGTAAACTTACAAAGGAAAGTTTTGTTTTGCGCAATAAATTGCAAAAGTTTCGCATGTAAACAAAGAAATATTAACTTCAATTTGTTGGCGGAAATTAATTAGAGTGCAATAAATCAGAACGACAGGCTGTGCTCGCACTGCGAGAAAAAAAAAAAGTATATGAAAAATTAATTAGCAGCGAACAGATTAATTTTCAAAATTGTATATGGGTTTTGCGCCGTCGAGGAGAGCGAGAGAAGAAAGTTTCCGTATTTATCTTATTTACGAGCCTCTTTACATAATTAATGTTCATTCATCTCGTGGAAAGGAGGAGGAGGAGGTATTACCGAAATATTGTTTCGTTCTGCTTATTGCATCTGAAGGGAATCCATTGTTATTGGACGGACTTAAGCGCTGGATTCGATGAGAGATTGATTGATGAAGAAAAAAATACATGTTGAGATTTTGTCGAGTGGCCGAAGGCAAATTAGGAACTTAAAGGAATTAGGATTACACGAATACAATTTTGGAGAGGGGACTCGGTTATTTGTTTATCTCCTTCCTTTATTTCGTCCAGGATTCTTTCTACTTCTTCTTCTTATTCCGAGCTGAGTGCTCGAATTAATTTAATCGAATACAACTTATTCGGGTTGGGCGAGAATCAATAGGGAGGAAAGTTTCTTTTGCCGGACGACGCTCTAACTGAATTTGAAAGTTTTTGGCCGGTGCTTATTGAGTAAATTGAAGTTCAATGGGTTTCCATATATATAAGTCCAATAAGCAAATCAATAATACTCGAACGTGGAGCACGCTTTTCAACTTTTAAAATTGTCCAACATTTCTGAACAAACGTCAAACGTATTTAGAATCAAATAAAATTAAGTATATAGTACAATCTTGCTGGTAATCGGTTTTTCCAGTATCCCGCACTGTTTGAAACCGGACTAATACGAACAAAAGTAAACTTGACTATAGTGATTGAGGTCTAATCGAAGTAAATACAGGTTTGAATTAACCTGAAGATTTAGTAGTAAAATAAATAATTGCATGATTGATTAGATTGAGTTGCGTGTCGTTATTCAAACGCAGCCTCGGGATGCTGTGAATTGATTTATCTTCGAAGGTTCTTTAAAGATACATAAATATATACGATACGTCTGTAGTCGGACATGTACAAATAAATGTTTGGGATCCGTTGGAATAATATCTCGATATATACCAATTACGATTTCCATGTCGATTATTTGTTCGGTGATAAATACCACTCTTTGAGCAAACATAAACACAAGCACACATCGATGGATTCTGAAGAAACGGAGGAGCAAAATAAAAAAATAAAATTGAATATTGATTTTGATAATTGAATTAAGATTGGTATATATCATATGCATACGTACGTGGTAGGTAGTCTAGGGGGATTTGTAG